TGGACAACGAAACAATCAAAGGATACCCTAACTTAAACAAGCCCACCATTTTGAATGTAGCCGCAGAGACAAGTGTTGGGAACTCCAGGGGAGTCCCTGGTGTCACAGCTATCATGTGGAAGGTCATTTCCTTCCTTCCAGGAGCTCCCAACCTGTCCCTCCCAGATCTTCAGGATGTGCAGTTAGCAGTCTCTGTCCTTGAAACCCCGAGGCAAGGTGCTGAGGGCGAGTAAGCACAACCCAAGGGACAGGATACGGGAGAGGACAATCCCCCCAAACTCCTCTCCCAGGGCTCACCCTGGTGGGAGCACCCACAACACAAAGGCCGCTACCCACTCCCAGAGCCCACCCTCGCTGGGCCACAGTCACAGCAGGCTGCCGTGCTCACACCAGCGCCCAGAAAAGAGTGTTTAAGGTGGTCGGCGCCCCAGGTCACTCACCTGTCCCGACGAGCAGGCAGTTCTCTCACCGCTGACGGTGTCACCGCTGTCTGAAGGCTCCTCTGCAGACCCTGGGGGGCCCCAGAGTGCGGACCCCAGGCACCCCTATCCTCAGAGACCCACATGCTGTGGTAGCTGATGGGACAGAGTGGCAGCTCCCTACCCAGTGAAGGGAGCCCAGAGGAGCCCCCAAATGCAGGTGGTGTTACCATCAAGGAGGTTGGGTCGTAGCAAGTCAGGCGCTTTTACAGGTGATCCTCCCAATCACCGTTTGAAGGCGTATATAAAGGGGCAGGAGCCTTGTGCAGCGTGCAGGCTCAGGTGAAGCTCCTTGTGTAGGCTCAGGTGAGCCTTCTTCTGCAGGTTTGGCGGGGCAGGGAGGGCTTCCTCAGGCATGGGAGACACTAGCTGGTCTAGTTAACTGACCGCCTTGGATATTTTTCACTCTGGAAACTTCTTTGTTCTTGAATTGGATCATAACCAGCCCTAGATGGTTTCCAGGAGGCTCAGGTATAGCTGATGACCTCGTTCAAAGGCGCGCACGTGCGTGCGTGCGTGCGTGTGTGTGTGTGTGTGTGTGTGTAGGGGGGGCAGCATAGCAACCCCACCTTTGATGGTTACAGTTTCACAACAATTCTCTGTATTTATCAATTAAATGAAATAAAAATGATGAAGAATGTGTGTTTTCAATTATTTAAGTTTAAAGTGCACCTACCTGACTGAGTTGGTTCAAGTTTTTGCTTCTTTCCATAATAAGGAGGGGGCAGGGTGAGGGAGAACTTAAAACAGCTGAATAACTTATCAGTGAGAGAAAATGTTAGGCAAAGCGTAATTTCAATATTACTGCGAATTGTAATGATCTCGTGTACATTTCTCTCTCATTAGCGCAGTCGTGTTAATGTTAGGTAGGCAAGGAAGAAAATTAGAGAAAAAACGGAGTATTTTGCCAGTCCTTGTCAAGATTAAAATGTGGGGGTGGGGGCAGGAGAGACATTATTACCAAAACCCCTTAAGGCAATTCACATGACATGAATTACTGCCTGTACTGCAAGTAAAGCCTTATATCTTCCACTGAAAATCAAGAATGTGAACCTTGATGTGATGAGTCTACTTTGTAGGCCCTTACCTCTGTGGCTGTCAGCATATTCTGCCTGCTGGTCAGCCTGTGTTTTCTCATCATACCTACTCATTCAGATTTTGGTGACTGAAAGCAAGAACACTTCCTTGAATCTATATATCTTGTGTGGCTAAACAAAAAAAAAGAACAAAACGATAAATCATAGAAGAAAGATTCTTCAAGTAATTTGGTATTAATTTCAAAGCAGTGCTGAGTATTTTCAAGTGAGCAGAATAGGTACTGCTCCCCTTATTTCACTGTGAAGCGCTGAGGCCTACTGGGGATTGGTCACAGGGTCCCTGCCAGACCTCTTGGCTCCTGGACCAACTCTTGAACCAGCTCTGCCTGTTTCAGGAGCTGCTGTCTGTTCCTGGCTTTCTTATCCAGGTCTCCCCCAGACCTGCTAAATCTGGGGGTTGGAGCTTATGTTTTGAAAAAAGCACCATGATTGATTCTAGTGCACGTTGATGGTGGGGAGAACATTATCCAGAACATTGCTTTTTCTTTAATGAGCTTACCTTTTTTTATTATTATTTATGTGTAAATTGTAAATATAACTTAGCTGTTAGAGTATTTTTTCATAAAGATATTAAATCAAACTTGGTTCACATTTAAATATTTATTAAGCAAACCATCTTTAAATTAATTTACATATTTGTGCATTGGAAATAAAGTATTCATAGGTGACATAATTATGTTCCTTGTCATTGAATTCTTCCACCTGGCCTATGTTTTATTTACAGGTTGTTGAGGTTGAATTCTAGTGATGCCAACATGATTTTTAGATCACTGAAAGGTTCCACAACAGGTTCATACTTAGGTTTTCCATTTACTGAAAATGACAGCTCTATAAACCATTCCTAGTAGAACTTACAAAAGCAGAGCTATGCACTCTTATCAAACAGTTAACATTAGGAATAATGAAACACAGCAGTTCTTTAATGAAGCTGAGTATGTGACTGTACAAGCGGTGGGGCAAGGAGTCAGGAGAAGGAGAACCAGGCGCTGGGCACAGTGCCCTGCTCTTGCAAGTGGGGCCTGCGCAAGTACTTTGTGCCAGCAATGCTTGGCCATACCAGGAACACCTTAAAGCTTTTAAGGTTCAGATGCCTCAGCCCTGCCTAGATGATGTGAATCAGAATCTCTAGGGCTGAGTCTATAGTGTGGAGTGGAGGCTTGGCACACACTCCCACCTAAAGTAGCAACACACAGTGGTGGGCTTCTCTGAATAAACACTGAGGTTACGGGAGCTGGTGGTGGGGTGGGGTGGGGGTAAAGAGTGGGGGCTGGGGAGCAGCATTCTGCATGGAAGCCAGACGGGCTTCTGTCAACGGTTAGCTCTGGGATCCACATGTAAATGATTGTGCTAAATGAATTCAGGTAGTAGCTCACTAAATGTCTAATTGGATGACTCAGTGGATATTGATTTAAGATAAAATTGCCTGCAGTTTTCTGCGTTCTTTTAAAGTTTTATTCTGTGATACAGGTATTTATTTCATTTTTCAAAACTGGGAATGAAAGCATAATCTCCTGACTCCACAGGAACAGACAAATCTTCCTTGCAGCCACTCTTCAGGCCAAGGGTAAGGATGCTAGTTCACGACTGCAAACAGCTCTGCATTCCTACAAACCTTGGCTCACGTGATACAGAACCTGTGTTGGTTAAAGCTCATTTGTACCAGTTTGACACAATTTTTTGTCCCAGAATCCACACATGGGAATTAAAACCTGTAATGAAATGAAATCAGTCAATCCTATGTTCACGTTCTGAAAGTAAAAAAACTTTTGGCGATGAAAGAATATACTTTGTTTGCTTACTGCCAAATATGCACAGTGATTTCAGATGTTTGCTTACAGAGGCTGAGCCAGGAGGTGGAGTGTATGCTTGACGCTGGCCTGTGGTTTTGACACTTACATTGGCAAGGTTCACCTAGGTGTAGGTCAATCTGAAGCGTGACTCTTCTACAGATTCTCCACCTCTTAGAAGTCCATGACCTATATGATTGCTGGACAGTGGGGTCATTCATAGTTTTTAGATCATCAGTAAAATTCTCTCATAATTTACAAGTTTTTGCCAACTCAGCTTTGGGAAAATTCCCCTGTTCTGGATGCAAGTTCTCAAAATACAGTCAGATAGCTGTGTATGTAGCTGTATTGGATATAAAAAATAACTTTCCAGAGCCTTTGAGAATGAAAGAGAATTTTCTAAACATTGTTTTCCATGAAGAACAAATTTAAATACTTTTAAATTTATGTTGATAACTTAAAGAAAATGCTTCTTTCTATAGAAATTTCACCAACTTTATGATATAAATAGAGCAGACGACAAAACCATGGATTTGCTCTTAGTGACTGTGGGTTAACATAGTCACTCTCTGAAATATAGGAGTATAAGAACAGAGAAACCTAGTCATAAGGTATGCAAGTATATGGGTGATCTTGTATTTCCATATAAATGTGGTAATTTAAATAATTTCAGAATTGGAAGGAGCACAAATCAAAATTTTCCTTTTCAGATTCCAGGTAGGCTCATTAAATACTTCAAATTGAACAAATGGTAGTTTCCAGGTGAAATGTGCTAAGTGGAAATGTCACTATTGTGCAATCTTCAATGAATTGATAGACTTTTTTTTTAATGGAATGGGAGTGTCTTTCTTTTTTTTTGGATAGAATTTTAAGAATTTTAAATAGAATTTTCCTTATCTTGAAAGTGGATTGGAGTTTGAAAACAAACCTACCTGAAATAAAAAACGGTCCAAGTGGAGGTGTCTCTATTAAAATTCTTTGTTTCTCTTTGAAATATAAAAATTACCTGTTTTTAGCTGTTTAGTCCTTGATTTATTTTAGAAACTTCATAGCTGTCTGCATGGATATTAATTTATTTATGTGGTGCTCTGTCAAGAAGTTTGGTGTTTATCCTTAAACATTGCAATTAAATAGAGCCTTCAGCCAGGTGTGCAGACTTGATGCAAGATGCGTTTTTTTTCCTAAGTGATTCAGCCTGGTCCGAAATAGGGATTTGTTTTGCAGCTACAGTCACTGGAATAGCTGTTCCTTACAGGATGGTGTAACTGTCATGGAAATAGGGGATTGAAAGAAGCAGCAGTAACATCCTGTCAGAAGAATAGCTTAGTTTTTAAACCAATGACCTCACTTGTGCAACTGGGGGCTGTCTTGAAATTGCCACTGATGATTCTCTTAGCCAAGTGAAAGTGACATGCTGCTTTCACTTCCACAGAATGAGTAGACGAATATGTTGATGGGAATATTCCCCCTCCTTTCACACAAGCAGAAAAATAACATTTCTGAGGCCTCTATTGGGGGAGGGGTAGGATTTCTAAGACAACCCTCATTTCTTTAAAGGATTACAGAATAGCAAGCAATGACTTTTTAGCATTTGTGAGGTGTCATGAGTGATCACCCAAATGAACAGACATCACGGTTTTCGTCTTACAGGTTTCCATCATTTACAGATGGGTGTCGGTGAAGGTGGTGTGTTCTTTTGTCACTGAGCTGAAACCCTTGATGGCGTTCATGAGGTCCTCTTCATCCACATACTGAAAGATAAGCCAGTCATCATGGGTTAGGGTGTTTGCTGTCAACAAGGCTCGGCATCCACTGATGGAGTTATCAATTTAATATAAAAAGTACATAATAAGGATTTTGTTAAGGCTACTCTCCTATGCTCAACACTATAAAGTGTGGTGGGAGATGATCCTTGCCTTAACTTTACCTTATTGAAAGGACCCTGAACAATAGACTAATCCAAAATGTATGTCATTTGAGTACTACATTGTGCCTTCTCTTGATCTTTCTAGGCCTTTTTTTATCTGTAAATATATAAATACACACACACTATATATATTTAGATATATGTAAATATATAAGTATTGTTATATGTATGTATATTTATAATGTTTGTTTATATAGAGTATATTTATTTAAGATTTAGTTGAAAATTTAAGTGAAAAAGCTCATGCTACAATATGTACAATATTGTACAATGTAGGGAATCAAAGTTCAAGATGGAGAGTCTGCAATAAAATGATGTTCGCAAGATCCCAATTGTACAGAAAATGCCTCACTCACTTTGTGTCCTTGGGTAAGGACACCCGAGCCCTCAATGTATGATGCTAAAACATATGACACTGCCATTTTTGCACATCTAGTATGACCAGTTCATGTCTTTATGTGTCAACCTATTTATAATTATTCCTGCCATTTAGGAACTTTAGACCTGCAATGGAATCATCTGGAGTCATCAGGCAGGCCCAAGATTTTAAACTGCCTATTACATATAACCATTCTGAACTCTGCACTACATATTTTTGTATGATTGGAAGCTGGAGCCAGAAAACTTGCTTTATTACTTGCCACTAGTTTAGAAAGACTTCTTAGAATTCATCAGTGTTTCAGTGAAGGAAAAATGAGAGCTGAGAGAGAGAGAGAGAGAGAGAGAGAGAGAGAGAGAGACAGCAGAGTCCAAAAATGAAGCAGATGGTTAAAAGAGATAGAAGTGGATATGTTCTTGGTTGGCTGGCTAGTTATTACCCAACTCTCCCAAAGGAATGATAGGCCAACTGGCATCTAGTAGTTGGTGCCGTGAAGAAGTCTGATGGTTGGTAAAACTCTAGGATTTTATTTATTTCAGCCACTTTGGGTTCACAACAAATAGGAGATGAGGATGAGGTTCGCTTGCAAAGAGTCAATTATTTGTACCCACTGGACTGAGATGATGAAAGCTGAAGATATAAATAGGAATCCCTTAATTATCAGGATTTTCTGAGTTGATTAGAAAGGAATCATTTAGTCTTTGCTCCTCTAAACCAGAAGGAAAAGATGATATGCCTCCTTCTTGGTTTTCTCTGTAGTTGACAACATCTTTTAGGCCAGTTGCCATGTTCTCAGTCACCTGCTGCCCAAGATAAAGAACTGCACCTATGTGTCCTTTAGCTCATTCATGCATTTAGTACTGGACTTTCCATTGTGTCCCAGAAGAACCATATGGTTTCTACCTTGATCCTCAAGTAATTGTAGCAACTCTAATAAACAGGTCATTACCAAATAACTGGGGAAGTGGTCTGGGGGGATGCCTTGTGTGCTGGGGATGCATCCAGCCAGCCCAGGCAGCTCTGTACTCTATCTCTCTACTGAGGTTCTGAAATTCTTAGTAAAGGCTCTGGTGGAGGAAATGGACCTACCAATCCACTATCGTGGCCCATGATGGTTTCCCACAGTGAGTCGTCAATCAGCACTTTCTTATCTTGAATGTCCATAAGTTGGCTGATGCTGCGGTGGAGGGAGTCTTGGGAGTAGGTCTGGCTGATGTGGCTCTGACTTGGGATCCGCAGTACAGAAAAGCTCCTGCTAGTCCTGATACTCACCGGTGTCCCCGATCGGGGGATTTTGGTATCTGCTAGTCCCTGAAAAGAAGGTTGATGTTGGTGATTAAGTTGTCTCTAAAGAAATAGGACAGAAAATTGTCTCACACTTTGTCAATGAAGAGAGCATGGTCTCCATTTCCTTCTGCAGAACAGAGATCTCTGGAAATACTGTGGGCCTTGCTTTCTTGACAAGGTGAGATATAAGCTAGTGGGCATGTTAGATGGTGTTGCTCTCAGCACCTACAGGGCTCAGCTACTACAGCTCTGTCTACTGTTTCCTGTGAACTGGGGCTAACTGTGTAGCAAGTGGTGGGGTGGAGGGTAGAGGATTGGTTAACACCCCATGGTGTGGGCACAGAGCCTTGGCAAAAACACCACTTTCTCAGAGCACAGTATCCTCTTATGTTCTTTCAAAATCCTGTATTTGTGTATAGAAATGGACTCCTCCCTCCCTTCTTCTTCCTTCTGTGTAGTTTCCCTTGTTATAGGATTTCAGCCTCCAAAATAAATCAGCTCTGATGTCAACATGTGAAAACAAGGACACTCTGTAACCGGGACTGAGAATGCACCGTAAGAAAATCCAGCTGATCTGGCCAGGATCCTGCTCTGCTGGACCAGTGGAATGTTCTCCCTTCTCATTGAGCTGTCGACACACCATGCAAAAGAGCATGCATTCATGCAGCACACAGAGGTACCTCAAAGTGCATGGTGTAGCTTTTCAGGGTGACATTGCTGGACACATCAGATAGATCTGCCACAGAATCAAACTGAGAACAAATGGGTGGGGCATCAATCAGTAGAACATTATAAAAGGAATGTTTTGACTCTTTGTGTTTCTCCAATGACAGCATCATCCTACCCATACAGGAATATAACCCTGATGCATGTGTGGTGTATGGGTCAGGATGTTTGTGTCAACAGTGTTTGGCATCAACTGATAGTTTTAGCACTTCGGTGTAAAAGTATTCAGTACTTTGTTAAAGGCTAATATATGCCTATCTGTCTGTCTGTCTATCTATCTACCTACCTGTCTACTTACTTACCTACTTACCTACCTACCTATCCATCCATCCACCCACCCACCCACTCACCCACATATCTATACATCTCATATGCCTCCCAGGGTGTATATATATAGATATACAGGTATCCTCTGCTATCTGAAAGTAGAATGTTCCTATTATGGTGTAGGTATATGCATGTACAGGTATGTACACATCTGTATATGTATATGAACATATATATACATATATGTTTGTATATATAAAAATGGGCTAAGCTGAGAATGTATTCCACGATTAACTCCTTGCTTGCCACATTTAGTTGAACATAACTGACATCTAAACCCTTGTTCCTTTGGCTCTGGAAATATTTTCCTCCCGGTAAAAGCAAGTATTGTAGCTCAGAGTGAGGAAATGGAGCCAGCCTTAGAGACATACCATTTGGGTTTCCCCAGGTGGGTAGGCTCTTAGTGAAGATGTCCTCTTCTGAACAGGCACTAAGGGAGGTCTCTCTCTGATGTATGGTTCTTTGTGGATTTTTCTTTGTAGTATCAGGGACAGGAAAATGGCCAACAAGATCAAGGCCAGCATTGCCATCAACACTATGAACCATAACTCGCTGTAGAATTCTCTGCTCTTGTGCCCTGATCCCCTCTTTTCTCCAGGAGTTGTAGGCACCAGACCTGCAGAATGGAGGGACAGAAAAGGGGAACATTATTTCATAAGCACCTGTGTGGCCCTTCTCTTGGATGGAGAATAGGAAAGTCCTTTAGAGCCATCTGTCATGGTGCTTCTTTGCACATGTGCTCAGGCTGGGACACGATGTGGTCTGTGAAGGGAGAAGCTTATAGCCTCAGGAGACCTCACTGAGATCATGGAGTCATTGGAAATCATGCTGCTTGGGTCGTTCATGGGTAAGATGGGAGTGGGATTTAGTGGAGCAAAAATCTGTCCCTCCAAAATAAGTCTGGCGAAATGATGATTTCATGGGAGGGGCACTCAAGGGTGATTTTGAAAAAGACCTTTATGTGTAAATTCTTTGTAAGGGGCTCACTCACTGTATTGGGAGGATCTAGTCTCCCTACCCCTTAGAGTGGATAAGCCACAACTTAAATCTGCCCACTGATGTTTACTGTGCCTTCCTTGGTAAGTTCCCCAACTCACCTCCCTTTTCTTCTGCCACCTCCTTGTCCTAGATCAGCTATTTAAGAAGGTACCTGAAGCCACTCAGGGGAATCACTCAGTCATACTGGGTCTCCCTATGTCCATAGGAGAAATACATTATAGTTAAAACTTATTTGGCTTTTACTGTCTGGAAGTTCCTCAGTCTACTAAAAATGGAGCTACCATATGACCTGGCAATTCCACTCCTGGGGATCTACCGAAAACACACAAAAACATTGATTCAAAAGACTACTTGTACCCCTATGTTTATTGTAACACTATTAACAATAGGTAAAACCTGGAAACAACCCAAATGTCCAAAGATAGATGACTGGGTCAGGAAGATATGGTATATTTAGACAATGGAATATTATTCAGCAATCAAAAAAGATAAACTCATGCCATTCGCGCAACCTGGATGGAGCTAGAAGGAATTATGCTCAGCAAAATAAGCCAGAAGGAAAGAGAAAAATATTGGGTGGTTTCACTTATAGCAGGAATATAGGGGAACCAAATAAGACATCAGTGTAAGAAAATAATAACAGTACAATATACAACAAAGAAAAAACAGACAATTACAAATCAGGGACATCCTGCGGGGGAGGAGGAGGGAGAGGGGTCAGAGGGAGGGAGGGAGGAGCCCAGGGGACTGAGGTGATGGTGCACGGGTGCACTGGGAAGGAAACTCTATGGGGACTACACCTGAGGGGGTGGGGGGAAGCAAATATTGTTTAAAAATGAACAATGATGTAAAAAATAAAAAAAAAACTAATATAAAATAAATACCTTCAATAAGAAAAAAAAGAGAATAAAATAGTTGGATTAAAAAAAACTTATTTGACTTTTATCGTGCGTTTGATGCTTGTATATTTATCAACCAAGAAGAACCCAGAGGGGAATGGGATGAATTCCTTTGTGCCCCAAAAGGGGCAAAGGTATTTTTAAAAGAGTGCAGGGTAAGTGAAAGATTATCAGGTTTTCCGCCCTCCTGCCATTAGCATTTATGATGGATCCCTGTGGTCCTACATGCATGCCTGATGGAGGACACCTGGAGTGGGGCATGGGCATGCATAGGTGAGCACACCTGGGCTGAGACTGGGCTTATAAGGGCGGCGTCACAGGGACGCCAGCAGAAGGAACGAGAACAAGAGAATGAAAAGAGAGAAAAAGAGAAGAAGGATGCAGAATGACCAGAGAGAATGCCAGAGAGCCCAGAAAGAGTTCAGACTTGCTGGGGCTCGGAGGCCTACCAGCCCCTCGGCGCCCCATGCCTGCCATGCACCTGATAAAATCTCAATAAAAGCCTGAAAAAGCCACGGAGGGTTCTAGGACCCTCCTTTACCAGTCCACCCGGATCATAGAGATCCTGCTCTGTGCCTTCCTAGCACTACAAGTCACCTTGAGGACGCTCGCCTCACAGCCCTGAGCCCTTGGAGCAGTTATTCCTCGGCAGGGGGTTCTTAGTGATATTGCTGTAGACACGCATTGCATTCATACCCACATCTTCAGAGGAAGCTCAAAGGGGAAGAAATCTGAATTTGGGGAAGGATGTTTAAGGGAGGGAACTAGGGATCCTTCAATTCATGCAAATACCCCATTCCTGAGGCAATACTGTGCAAACTGCATTTGGAGACATCTGATCCTGTTTTCTGTGGCGATGTTAGCAGCCCGGACTAGCTAATGGTCTTTCTGTTTCTTGTACCCTGGCCTCTGTTACGCAGTCAAAGCTCGCCGGCACTGCTCCCAACTGCACTGGGAGAGCTGCTGATGCACAGAGAAATGCTTGAATCACAGGACTCCTCAACCTGGTTTTTTTTTCAGGTGTGGAGAATTCAGTTGGGGATCCTTGGCACTTGAGGAGCCCACATTTAAAGGGCATTTACCTGTGCCCGTGCTAGCCCCTCTACTGAGTCCTTCACAGAGAAAAAGGATGGGCAGGGGCAGGATTAGTAAGTATGTGGATGTGGGGTGTGTGGAAGCCAGGCAGACAGGATAAAGGTGTGGGGGGGGGGCGGTCCCTGCAATAGCGTGAAGCAATGGGATCGGCCTGGAAGCTGAGCAAGACAGGGCAGCCAGGTCCCTGGAGCGCGGGGCATGCGGGGCAGGCTAAGGTGTGCACTCGTAGATCAGTGCAGGCCGGTGGGGGTGGGGGGAGCAGCTTTGCTGAGAGCTCTTCTGAACCAGATGCTTTTGGTCATCCAGAAGGACAGACACAGCTGCAGGTGCCTACTCACTCCTTCCAGCCCTTTATGACTGGGTGGACCTGCTGGGCAGTCATACCCACATCTTCAGGGGAAGCTTAAAAGGGAAGAGATCCAAAGTGGGGAGAGGATGTTTAAGGGAGGGAGAATCATGGGATTAATATTAAATTTTCAGCTCCCTAGAGGAGGGAGATGGCTTTGCTACCCCAATTCTCCTCCTGGTCCCCTATACCAAACCCCTATGCCAAACCCTATGCCACTCTCTGGTGGCACGGGAGTTAAGTCTCAGCACTATGAAGCTATCAACAGCCACTGCAGCACAAGCTTGATCCCCGGCCAGGGAGCTGACCCACATGGCGCAGCAGACCTCTCCTAGCTCACCCACTGCTCCCCTCAGCAGTGTATTTTGGTACATCTGCCCATTCTGCTCCCCACTCTGTCTCTGGTGAATCCTCTAAACACCATCCCCCCACCCCCGCACCTCTGGCACCCAGTTCTTGTATGCATAAATAAATAAATTACAAAAAAAAAGTGGAGTGAAAACTGCTCAAGCTACAGCAGGTCAGGATCCCCTAAGGGGTAACAATTGTGGCTATGAGATTAAAATAAACAGCAAATGAGTTTTTGGGCTGGAAGCGTGATGTTTCCTTTGGATGCAGCACAGGCCTGCAACTCCAGAAACTGACCTGAAGGCCCCAGAGGGCCTCCTGCTGGGCAGGACACAGGGACTGTGGAGCAGCCTGCCTCAGGGAAGGCTCAGGAGGGAACCACTGTAGGAACTTCCTCCTTGAAGGCCCCTCAGGCAAGGGAACAGAAAGATTTAAAAATGAAAAGAGACTGTGTGTATTCATGGGACAATGCATCTAGGAATTTCCTATCACCTCGCCTGTTCTCAGTAGGTGTTTCTTCTCTCTGCAATGGAAACCTCAATTTGTGTTCAGGAACCAGTAAGAGGTTTCTCTTTTGTGAACAGCTTAAATCAGGCAGGTGTCTCTCTTTCCTTTCTTTTTATCTTTTCAAAGTCCCCTTTGATTTGAGGGACTTCACTCATCTAGTGGGAAGTTCACCATCAGAGACCCCAGGCAGTCCTGGGTCAGTCAATGCCTCCCTGTGAGTTGCTGCCCCCAGGGAAGACCTACTAACCTAGAGACTGGATGGGGGGATTTTTGATGGTGGGCGTGCCTAGCTCCTGGGGTTTTCTCACATGTGGTCCTGGCTCCTGCATCAGAATCAATGGGCAAGACTTGTTTAGGGATCTGACTCCTGTACCCTGCTGATTCTGAATCTCTGCAGGGCCTGGGAGGCCATATAATAAACAAGCACACTGAGATGATTCTGATGCCCACCTAAATTTCAAAGTCATTGCTAAAACATTTAAAAAGTATGGGGATAGACGTCAACATTAAAGTTGATGAAAAGCCACATTTAAGTTCCTAGGGACTAGCTGGCTTTATTAGAAGATTCTAGGGTAAGTTCAGTGTCCCTTGGGTCCCCCTTTGTCCACTTGTGGACACCTGGAGTTGCTAAAGAATGCCAGATGAGGCCTGCTCTAGCCCATTAAATAAAACGAGAAAGACAGGAGGAGGAGGGCTAGGTATTGGAAGAAAGAGTATGTCACCCAGGTAAACTCTGGAAACGCAGACTAACACTGCAGTAATTTTATGGGTTGAAACTCTCATTGGCCAGAGAAGGACCCCAGCTATATATACAGACAAATTTGATATAACATGCTTGCTGGAGTTTATATAGGGCATCAGTCCCAATTCTGTTCCAATGGAAGAGATTTGACATTTCTCTAATTTGCCATTGAAATTGTAAAGGGTCACAGATGTTCAATTAAAATATTATGGGTAGAGTTCAATTTAAATTTTTATTTTATTAAAACTAATTTTTTTTTTTAACTAAATTACAGCAGCACAAGTTTGATCCCCGGCCAGGGAGCTGACCCACATGACGCAGACAGGATAAAGGCATTTTTTAAACTAAATTACTTGATATTAATAGTCAATCATAATGCTTAATAGAGGAAACAATACAGAAATTTCTTAGATTCACTGTTTTAGGCCCTAAATCTGGAATGTTACATTATGATCAACATATATTGACATTAGATTATCTTCTGCTCTCTCTTTCCTCTGACTTTCTCTATAAATCACTTTTTTGGGGGTAAACAAAGTCATATAGTTCTTTATTGACAGAATACATGGTCAGAAGAGAAGTTTAGTCACATCTCTCTGTATCTACAATTCAGTAGTTCAGCATTTTAATAATATATCCTAACTCCTTGACTGATGTAAATTTCATGAAGACTTAAAACATTTTCTTATAACTGGGCCTCCCTGGTGGTACAAAGGATTAAGTACAGCACTGTGAAGCTATCTGCAGCATCTGCAACACAGGTTCCTTCCCTGGATGGCCAGGGAGCTACCCATATGGCGTAGCAAACCTTTCCTGTCTCACCTGCCTCTCCCCTCAGCAGTGTATTTCAGTCAGTCTGCCGTGTTCTGGTCCCGGCTCTGTCTCTGGTGAATCCTCTCACCCCCGCATCGCTGGCCTACATCCCAGTTCTTGTATGATGAATAAATCTTTAAAAAACTTTTTCTTACAACACTTAGCATGACTCCTTCTACATAGTCTGTGTTACTATATTAGCATATGTATGTATAGACAAACATGTATGTCTCTTTAGGAAAATGACTAAGTGCTACAGAAAATAGATTATGATGTAAATGTTTACCAAATCCAGCAGAGGCATCATATCGGATCAAAGGTGTCTTCACGCTTCCTTCATCTGTAACACAGGTCACCTGGAAGAGAAAGGCTGGACAAAAGGTATATGACTCGGTCACCCAACACCAACATGAGAAGGCATTCTCTCAGAAGAGCAAGACCCCACAGCATAAAATTCCAGAGCAAGTGGTGAGGTTTATCCAATATGTAGACTTATTTCTGATTTTAAAAGTCAAGAAAAACGGCGATCATCATTGCAATGAGAACATGTCTGTAAGTAAAGAAACTCAAGAAGCTTAGTTTATATAGCTAAGGAAAAATTATCAGAGGCATAAGTTTCATAAATCAACTGTGCCTTGTTCTTCATGGGGCCTAGACTTGTCCCATGAAAACTTCCAGCTGTGACTTTTACAATGTGGCCCAGAGTTTCTTACTAATAGGAACATGCTCAAAAAGGATCATGGTGATCACAAGGTCTGATGCCTCTTTCATAGCAGGGACCTGAGGGAAGTGAATTTTCTAAGTTGGCACAGATGGTGGAGACCCATGCAGGAGCAGAGTCCTGTTCTTCTAGCTCTTGGGCTTCCTTTCCATCACTATGGTCTGCCCGGGATAAAGAGAACAGTGACAATGCCTATTGAGTAGTAAAGTATTGTTGCAAGTTTCAAATGCTCTAACTGCATACTGCTGGAGCTCATTTACCTCCACCTATTCTCAAGAAAATTAAAGAATTCGCAGCATGAGTACAGATTGCTTAAAATGGCTATTGGTTCTGTGTCTACACTGAGCAGTAGAAAATGCTTAGTCCCTTGTAAAACTTTTTCTCACTTAATTTCAAAACAGCAAACAGGAGAAGGAGATGTAATTAAATTGGGAGAAAGAATTTGGTTATAGAGAGAAAAGGTTTGTTATTTCAGGAACATATAGATGGTTGGTTAAGGAAATCCCTTACTCATCATGCTTAAGCTTTGGAGGTCACTGTCTGTCCGGGCTCTGTTCAGAAGTTGTGGAGCTACCCAGAAAATCTCTGAAGTCCCTAGAAGTTATCATTTCAGGATACTCATTGTCTACTTGTGAGCACAACCTGCCCTGTGGCTTTGTCCCTTCATGAGCACACTGCAGTCACGTGAAGCCCATGCTTCTGAGGATAGCAGCAGAGCTGCAACACATCATCAGGACAACCACAAATGTATCATCCAAACTGCAATGCAACATCAGAACTGCAACACATCATGAGAACTGCAGTGCATTACCAGAACTACTGCAATGCAACATCAGAACTACAATGCATCAGCTGAACTGCAGTGCATTATCAGAACTTCAGGTACATCAACCAGACTGCAACACACCATCAGAATAACTGCACATGCATCATCCAAACTGCAATGCATCATCAGAACTGCAGTGCATCATCAGAACCGAAATGCATCATCAGAACAGCAAATACATCATTAGAACTGCAGATGCTTAGTCAGAACTGCAGTTGCATCATCAGAACTGCAATGAATCATCAGAACTGCAACTCATATGGCAACAGATATGAAGGAAAGCCTTTACTGGAAGGAGGAACTTTGCCCCAAGAAGTGGTCACTTGAACGAACTCATGTGAACGATGAGCATCTGCCGGTCAGCTTCCAGAGGTGAGGAAGGGAACAGAGTTCCTTAGGCACTGAGAAGTGGGATTAAGAACTAACTTTTGTCCGCAGTCCTTGGAATACAGAGGGTGGTGTCCAGGCCACTGTACAGGCGCTGCCCTCTGTCTGTTAGCACGAACTCCTTCAGCCGGCCATTTGGAAGGAAAGTGCCACTCCAGTTCACACACACCATCGATACATTGCTGTCCACCCATACCGGGGCTCGAACCTGTGGTACTGTTGGGAGAAAGGTGCATGTTCTAAAAACAGTAATCTCTAAGTGTTGTGTCTATTTTTTTTTTTTTAAAGATGAGCAAATACAAAACAAAACAGAAAAAAAACCCAAACAAAAATGAACCAAAAACTGGCACTCGGGGCTGCAAGAAAACCAGTGGGAACATGTGTGAAATGCTTTCTCAGCAACATTGCACCTACCTTCCAAAAAAAAAAAAAAAAATCGATGGCGAGTAGTGTTTCATAAAATAAAACTATTAACATACAATGGCTCTGCCCACCGACATAACCCTGGAGCTCATATTTTGTTGCATTTTCTCTCTTTTAACAGGTAAAGTATCCTTAACACCATTAACTACAGTAGATAGCTATTTTTCATATCAAATCAATATTTATTGCTACAAAGCCCCAAGGACTAGATGAAGGGAGTATTTTTTTTTCTTTAAACCAAACTGCTTAGATGGTGAATTATGTCCTTTTGGCACCCATTCATTTTTAAAGCTTTTTTCTTGAACCGTTAGTTTGTTTTCTAAGAGAGTTAAAAAGCCTTGCAAACAGCAATTCAAGTATAATAATTCATTGTCCTGACTAATCAATCAATAGCATAGTACATTAGTATATAATCAAGCTCAGGTCTCCTAAGTATTATATCAGATATAGAAGCAACTTTGTGTGCCTTCGACAGTAGGCATTCTGTTCATTTTTCAGTTCCTTACCAATACAAAGGAAAAATAACCCCTAACTGAGGCTCATCTTCTAAATGAATAATTTTTGCAGAAACAAATGAAGGGATCCCATATCAGTATGTCAAATCAGAAGAGATTTATTTCATGAGCTAGTTTTCTTCAAAATAATCAATATATTTGTAACAGCATTAAGATCCATCTAGACACTAAATTGGCTTTTAAGAAAAGAAAGGATTGTGGAAATAAATTGGATGTCTTTGTTTCTTTAAAAATTAAGTCTATCCTGTGGCTGATGTTAGATAATATTACAACAGAAGGAATGATTTTACCTAAGGGATCCTAAGGCTCAACCAGGAGGAAAAATTTGATTTTTATATTTCAAAGTGAGATATTTTCAGAATTTTTCCTGTAAATACAAAAACAACAGTTATATGGCCTCTTTATTTTTTAATTTTTATTTTTTTAAAGATTTATTTATTTATGCATACAAGAGCTGGGGTACAGGCCAGAGGTGTGTGTGTGTGGGAGGTGAGAGGATTCACCAGAACAGAACAGGCAGATTGACAGAAGTACATTGCTGAGGGGAGCAGCGGACGAGACAGGAGAGATCTGCTGCACCATGTGGGTAGCTCCCTGGCCAGAGATCTAACTCATGCTGCAGTGTCTGCGGACAGCTTCATAGATTGCGTCTTAACTCCTTGCACCACCAGGGAGGCCCCTATATAACCTCTTTAAATATGTCTTTACAACACAGATGTTGTCACCTATCACAATGGAACCCACTGTGGTGTGTGCCTGTGGCTTCTCTCTGCCACCTTATTCAATAGATTTCACTTATCCCCAACACTCTAACAGTACAAATAGACTGGTTTTGCAGATGGTATGACTGTAGAATTATAGGAGCTTTACTTTCCTTGTGGGATTTCAGACCTTCCCGAGGACACTGTGATCAAGCAGTCAAAATCATCATCAGTTACAGCTATATCACACTGAACATGTTCAATCTCATCAAAATAGTCAGGAATAGTTAATTTGGAGAGTGAGGCAGTGGTAACAACTTCTATGCCCCTAACCTATTGCTAGATGTTCCTGAGCTACTTAATTTGTCAGATGAGGACTCTGACCTTCACCTTTAGAGATGTCAAATATCTTGCTTGAGGTCAGTAGCTGGCAAGAGAGTGAGGGTATGCCCCAAGCCTGCTTCACTATGAAGCCCATGTTGCTGTGTAATGATGAGCACACATTTATTTAAAATCAGCACTATTTACCAAATCATTCTGGGTGTGCCCTGGTAAGCAGCTGGCCATCCTGACTGCTAACTACAGGAACTTTGTGAGCTGGTTTTGAAGCCCAATCATGACTAAAAATTAAATGAGGTAAACTTATATTAAATGGAATAAAATTACCCCAAGTTAAAAACTCCTTTAATAGAGGATTGTCCCTTTTTTTTCTTAGTGAATCTTGCTAAAGGTTTGTCATGACTTCTGGATTATTTGACGAAATCTATGCTTCCATGGTTTTTCCACTTTCTGTATCTAGATGGGCAAATGCAGCTGTGATGGGATGCCACCAGCTCTGTGCAGGGCTGTCACCTAAAGTCAGCCGCGGCGGGAGCATTGACACCACACATCAGCAGGCAGGGCAAGTTGGGAGAAGGCCAGCAGTGAACATTTCTACCTCTCCTCTGCTCTCACCAGAGGTACAGTCTAAGCATCAGGGGCTGAGTGTGAAGTCAATGCCTCTCCAGACCCTTCTCTGAGTGTTTGTGAGATCACATTTATCTAAAACTGCAAATACTATTTTCAAATAATCTCTGTTTGTCTCCTTTGAGCCACATTTTCTCTCAGTATGTATAGTGAGTTAAAATTAGCATAAATGGTGTGTGCTGGCCCCTATAACAGCCAGTTATTTATTGCATTTTCTATCTGTGTGGACACAGTAGTAGAACATTTTCTTCTTTGGTGCTTGGCCAATGTTTAGCCATGTCTCCAATGGGAAAGAAAAGAGAGGAAAACTTGTCTTCACTTTGTTCTTCTAGGAAAAGAAAAAATTATCTGGCAAAACGCTATCATGACTGAAAGGAGAATTGGGTAGAGTCTGCAAACCTTGCATACCTCTTTGGCCTGTGCTTCTGACCAACACCTACAAACTCTTAGAAAAGTATCAATAGCAAAATTGGCTTATGGATATACTGAGAAGGTAACTGCTTCTCAAACATGGTAATGATGCGTTGTTCCACTGTATATATAGCAGGTCCTTAGATAACATTTCTTTCAACTAGGCTATTGCATAACAAACAAACAAATAAAAGCAATTCCTACCCAGTTGAAGGAAATGGTGTTATGTGAGGACCTGCTTTTGCTTCATGTCACTTCACTTAATCTCTGCAGGATGTTAAGTGAGGACCTACTGGGGTATTATTTTTATTTTTAGAGGTAAGTCAAAATTCAATTTTCTATACTTGCACCTTAGGAATAAATGTTTCTCACAGTTCCTTCTGTGCTTGTGAAGGGAGGATGGTCAGAGAAATAAGGACAGAGGGAAAGAGAAGTTGATGAAAAATTTCTTGAGAAGTCAATGAAAAATTTCTCCTGGATTTACACTATGGAGGTCATGGGCAAATGTAGGAAGAGATTTTCATGGATCATTTTTATAATGAGGTGAAAACCAGTTTGGAGGAAGTTAAAGAGTAAGGAGAAAGAAAGAAAACGGGCAAAGCACATTTCCCAAGGAGCCCTGTGTACTTGTTTCTGATTATACTTATTTTATTGTTAATGCATTTTTAATATGCCATTTTTAAATAGATATATACACCTTCTACATTCTGAAAAGAGGTTATTTTTATTTATTTATTTTTTGAAAAGAAGTTATTTTATAAATAAAACAGACAAACCCCTAGACAGACTCACAAAGGAAAAAAGGGAGAAAGCACAAATAAACAGGATCATAAATGAAAGAGGAGAAATTACAACAGACACAGCGGAAATCAAAAGAATAATCAGAAACTACTAAGAACAGTTATATGGAAACAAGTTCAACAATCTAGAGGAGATGGACAAATTCCTACAACTCTACAATCACCCAAAGCTAGATAAAGAAGAAATAGAACACCTAAACAGACCAATTACAAGCAGCAAAATTGAAATGGTAATCAAAAAACTCCCCAAAAACAAAAGCCCAGGACCTGATGGATTTACAAATGAATTCTACCAAACTTTCAGAGACGAATTAGTGCCTATCCTTCACAAACTCTTCCAAAAAATTGAGAAGGAAGGGATAACACCAAACACGTTCTTTGAAGCCAGCATTACACTTATACCAAAACCGAACAAGGACAACACAAAAAAAGAAAACTACAGGCCAATCTCCCTAATGAACACGGATGCAAAAATCCTCAATAAAATTTTAGCTATCAGAATCCAACAATGTATCCATAAGATAATTCACCATGACCAAGTAGGATTCATGCCAGGGAAACAAGGATGGTTTAACATCTGAAAATCAATCAATGTTATCTAACACATCAACAAAAAGAAATATAAAAACCATATGATAATATCAATAGATGCTGAGAAAGCTTTCGACAAAGTGCAACACCCATTCATGATAAAAGCCCTTGAAATTCTTGGGATACAAGGAACATACCTCAACATCATAAAGGCCATATATGACAAGCCAACAGCCAGTATCATTCTCAATGGCGAAAAGCTGAAAGCATTCCCATTAAGATCTGGGACAAGACAAGGATATCCACTGTCACCACTGCTTTTCAATATAATACTGGAAATCCTAGCCAGAGCAATAAGACAAGAGAAAGACATACAAGGAATCCAAATAGGAAAAGAAGAAGTCAAGCTATCACTATTTGCAGATGATATGATAATATACATAGAGAACCCCAAAAACTCCACAGAAAAACTAATTCAACTCATCAATCAGTTCAGTAAAGTGGCAGGATACAAAATCAACACGCAAAAATCAGTAGCCTTCCTATACACCAACAAAAAATCTGAAGAAGAAGAAATAAAAAAAAAAAATCCCTTTTACTATCGAAACAAAAAAAAAATCAAATACTTGGGAATAAATGTAATAAAAGAGGTAAAGGACCTATACAAAGAAAACTATAAAACACTGTTAAAAGAAATAGAAGAAGACACAAAGAAATGGAAAGACATCCCCTGCTCAAGGATTGGAAGAATAAACATTATTAAAATGGCCATCCTACCAAAAGCAATATACAGATTCAATGCTATTCCAATAAAAATTTCAATGTCATTCTTCAAAGAAATAGAACAATTATTGATGAAATTCATATGGAATCACAAAAAACCCTGAATAGCCAAAGCTCTCCTGAAAAAAAAAAGCAGGGAATGGAGGCATCACACGCCCAGACTTCAAACTTTACTACAAAGCCATAATCATCAAAACTGCATGGTATTGGAACAAGAACAGACACACAGACAAATGGAATAGAATAGAAAATCCAGAAATAAACCCACAGATTTATGGTCAACTAATCTTTGACAAAGGAGCAAAGAATATGCATTGCAGCAAAGAAAGTTTGTTCAATAAATGGTGCTGGGAAAACTGGGTCGCTACATGCAGAAGAATGAAGCTTGACTACTACCTCACACCATGCACAAAAACCAATTCAAATGGATTAAAGAACTAGACATAAGATCTGAACCATAAAATACATAGAAGGAAATATAGGCAAAACACTCCATAATATGCACATCAAAGACATCTTTACAAACACATCACCCAAAGCAGTGATAGTGAAGGGAAAGATAAATAGCCGGGACTACATCAAATTAAAGAGCTTCTGCACAGCAAAAGAGACAATAACAAAAACAAAGAGAAACCCCACCGACTGGGAGAACATTTTTGCACACAACACTAATGATAAAGGACTGATCACAAAAATCTACAAAGAACTGATGAGACTCAACAAAAACAAAGGAAATAATCCAGTCAAAAAATGGGCAGAAGAGCTAAAAAGAAACTTCTCGGAAGAGGAAATGCAAATGGCCAACAGACATATGAAAAAATGTTCAACATCACTTGTAATCAGGGAAATGCAAATCAAAACTACAATGAGATACCATCTTACACCAGTGATATGGCACATATTAAAAAAACTAGCAACAACAAATGTTGGCGAGGTTGTGGAGAAAAAGGAACTCTCCTGCACTGTTGGTGGGAGTGCAAACTGGTCCAACCACTATGCAGAGCTGTGTGGAGATTTCTTGACCTATTAAATATAGAGCTTCCATATGATCCAGCAATTCCACTCCTAGGTATTTACCCAAAGGACACAGAAACATCCATTCCAAAGAGCACCTGCACCCCTATGTTTATAGCAGCACTATTTACAATAGCTAAGCTTTGGAAACAACCCAAATGCCCAAAAATAGATGACTGGATCAAGAAGATGTGGTATATATATACCATGGACTATTACTCAGCATTCAAAAACGATAAACACATGCAATTTGCAGCAACATGGATGGCGCTGGAAGGGATCATGCTCAGCGAAATAAGCCAGAAAGAAAAAGAAAAATACCGGATGGTCTCACTTATAGCAGGAATCTAGAAAACTTAAATAAGGGACCACGAAAAAGAATAGCTATAAGAAAGAAATATCAAAATCAACAAATAACTATGAACAAGAGACTCTCTATGGGGGTGGGGGGGTGAGGAACGGAGGGCTTGGGGTGAAAATAAGGGGTTGTAATTGTATGGGGAATATAAAAATAAAATTTAAATTAAAAAAAGGCAAAAAAAAAAGAAAAGAAGTTATTTTATAGGACTAGAAGGAGGCCCCAATCGGTGAGCTAACTGCCCCTTTCCACACTCAATTGCCTTTTTGCTTTTCCTGATGGTTCTGTCTCATCATTTTCCAGCAATGCTAGCAATTATGGCGTGCCATTTGAAAAGAAAAGTAGAGTGACCAAATTCTTCAAACGATCATCTCAAGTGCTTGTCCATTCTTTTCCTTTCCATGCCTGCACTTTCTCTAAAATGATTTTCACCCATTGCTGCATGAAAAATCATTCTAAATTTGGCCCAGATCTCCAGATTGTGAAATCCCACAGGAAGGCTTGTCAAAAGGTCATGAGCAGTGATGTCTCGGCAGCACTCACTGTAAGTGAGCCCACACACAATCCTATAAAATTAAGTGGTTTCCCCTAGTTTGAGCACTAGGCTCTCGGGCTGCCCCCCACCTCTCAGGCTGATGGTGGCAGCCACTTGTACTGACCTTCCTTTCGGGTGGTGAAGCTGATCCATTCGGAAGCGGTGCTGCCCACCTCGTTGTGGGCCACCATCCTCACCTTGTAGGTGGAGAAGGGCTGAAGTCCCCCAAGACTGGCGCTCTGCCCAGTCCCTACGTACTTGGTCTCTGGCTGGCTGGGAGCACAAGCAGTGGCTGACTCGTGGGGACAGGCCGGGTAGAGCTGGACCTCATAGCTGAAGGAGAATGGACATGTAAAGAGAAACCACAAGGATATTAGTGTAATTGTTAGGGGCAAAGGATGTCCTGAGCAAACTCCATACAGGCTTTGTGGACTCCACCTCCCACTCCAACAAGACACTGGGAACTGCAAATCCCATGATCACCAAAGGGCAGGTTGTGAGGACCTGAGGGCAGAGTTAAGCAACTATGTTCTCTGTTTGAGTATTTAACTGGCCATGTGAGGGGGGAATCCCTCTCTTGGCCATGCAGCGTGCTTGGTTTTTCACCAGCTCGGTCGGTCATTGGGATTCCAGGTCAGGAACAGGTAGGACACATTTACCAACTTATCTCCCTCTTTTCCTCCCTGAGTTATTCATTTCCCACTTCCCCTTCCCTTGTAAATAAACCTTTTATCAACCTTTTGTGTGTGTCTGCAGTTTAGCATTAATAAGTCCCCTTTAAGCACGGGTGAGGACCCACAGTCAGGCAACCCCATTTTATATCGGGATTGCTCTGTAACATAACTATCTTTAAAAATTGCTTCTATTTTGGGAGGAGGCATTCAGTTTACACTGAATTCCAATCTCTTTGAAATTCCCATTTTCAGGGACCTGCTCTCAGCAACCCTTTACTTAATGCTGTTGGAAATGAGCAGCGAATGTGAGCAGAGAAACGATAAGAGAATCACCCAGCATCCCAGCAACCTTGTTGGTAGAGATAAGCTCCTTCTCTCTTTTCAGAGGAGAATGATAAAATTGTCTCCCTCTCTTTTCTCCTCCAGATTATTTTGACTCAAGTAACTTCTTTGTTTTTTTCAAACAGCGCCATTGTTTTTTCATTATACCACTTTAAGTTAGATCAAGGAAATTCTGATCTAGCCACAGAAGTTTCTTGTGTTCCTGCTAAGACCTGTAGAAGGAGTAATTCCAGGGAATCATGAGGCATGGATTATTCCAAAGATTGCAAGCACATTGCATTGTGTTTCCTATTTACAGACAATGTTGTTCACCTTTCTAGCACAGGCTGATTTGATAGTACTGTTGGCTTAAATCAGTTGGGATAAACAGAACTAAGTGAATTTATTAAAGAATCAAGACTGAGGATTTGAACCCAGGAAGTATTTAAACAGGTTTCATTCTGTGGCAACTGTTTCAACAAACACAAGTTTGAATTTAGTTTATACAGGTAGGAACATTGAGTCACTGGCATAACAATGTAATTATTCTGGACAGGAGAAAATTCTAGTTCCATGCTATTTGGTTGCTCTACAACATTTTGACCTAAAGATCTATTAATACACAGAGCAGGGCAAAGGCTGGGGTTTAATTGCTTCCTTTCTGAAGAATGTGCAGTAGAGATGCAAATACTAAACTTCCATCTTAAAGCCACTTTTCTCTGGCTCCTTGGACAATAGTGGGGGTTGAAAGGCTGGTTTACTTTCAGGTAGCTGATTCCTGCACAGGCTACAGGCTGGAGCCTGCTCTGACTTCAAGTCTGTGCAGATGGCTTTACTCTCTTGGCTACTTGACTGGGGTGGAGAGGTATGGTGAGTGAGGTTGTGGGAGGGACTATCCCAGAATGTTGTACAGTATGTACACAGTGTAAACACCATCTATTTGTCTATTTTGCTGTTGATATCTATTCAATAAACAAGTCTTCCTTGGGAAGTGCTGGGGTCTCTGTATGCTTGGATGCAAGTCTTACTTTGGTTTGTTTTTCTGGCTGGCCCATTACCTTTGAATGATACCATTGGGGAACAGGGGGGCACTCCACTGGAAGGAAGCTGTCCTGGAGGCCAGTGTCTTTATTTGAGGGGGGGACAGTCCAGACGGTGGAGCAGGCCGAGTTCTCAGCTGGGCTGTTGGGCCTTTGCTGCAGCAGTTGAAACAGGTACAGGCCTCCACACCAACAGAGTAGGTAGTGAAGGGCTGCAGGCTGCGGAGGGTCTGCTGGGTGGCCAGGCCTTCAGACAGCTGTAGGGGAGACAGGGCTAGATGAGAGAGTGCCACAGATAAGTCAATGACAAATGTCATGTGTGTCACCTTCAATGAAGAGAATGCCACATTTGTATCAGGGAATAAAAGAAAGAATCCTATATCTTTACAGAGAGAAATATCCATAAAAAGGGGAGGTTTCATGTGCCTTGCCCTAATCAGTGAGGGGTGCAGCTGAGCCACAAGATGGAGAGATATTAAAAGAGGAGACAGGCAAGAGAGTCACATGCAGCAGAAGAGACATATGAAGAAAAAGGGAGTGCTTGCATCTTGGCTTTGAACATGCACCTAGGACTTGGGGGACATGAAAGAGATATGTGGAGGAGAGACATGTAGAGACACGTGGGAAGGCTGACAGTGGCAGCTGCTACCTTGATTTGTTCTTTGATTTTTTTTCCTTTCATCCTAGACTTGCCTGGCCCTTCTGCATCTTTCCTAAGTTTTCCCTCCAGAAGCTACCTTAGACTTGTGGCAAACTGTTGGGCCTCTGCAGCCCCACTTTGAACCAATCCTGTTTGGTTGTGCATTTACCCACAAGGGAGTGGGTAACTTTGAGTGTTTTATTGAGAATATTCTTTTTCTTCTTCTCTTTTCTCTCTATGCACATTAATTCTATTAGTTATTTCACAGTAAGAGTCTGCTTTGTCTTTACGTGGCAGATGGCAGAACCTCTTTAGAGCATGCAAGTTTGGGGTCCCAGGGTGCCCCTCAGTCTGCACACTAACCATACCCCTCTGGTTTCTCCTTGGGCTGAATGAGTCATCAAAACAGCAGTAGCGAGGTTAGCAATGTGTTATTAAACTCTCCAAATTTGCATGGTTATACACTTGAAAGAATAGTGGAACACACCAGAGAGAGTGCCCTGCATTTAGGGAGCTGGGGCATCAAGAACGAAGGAAGAGACTTAGATTACAGAAAAGGAGGGGATGACCTCATCTTCACTCTGGGAAATACACATGGGATTCTTGTAATAAGGAAACATATTCTTGTAATAAGGAAACATGCAACACATACACCTGCATGAGACCCCCCAAACTACACTCTTCTAGGTCATAAAGGAGGGAGCATTGATTTCTTCTCCTATCAGGAAAGAGGGCAGATGTTTAGGGAGTCATTTTGATTAGGATTAGGGAGGGGCTGAGGATTGAAGTAAGGATAGAAGCTTCCCCTAGCCTTTGGGGCCTCACTGCTCTCAACCCAAAATTTTTTCAGTCATGGGATAAGATCTCAGTCATGGGCCCTTGGCTGACCTCTAGTTCCCATACAAGGTGGCAAGAGGCCTTGTTCTGCAAATACTGTGAAAAGTTTATCTGACCCTTTTGGGGAGACTGACCCCAAACCAGCCAGTCCTGGAGATGTAAATGGGCATTCAGCACAGCGTTTTCCCTCATGGAACTACTAATCCAGTTGGAGAGACATGACTTAAACATGCCAAAAATGGAATGATATAATGATTAGAAGAAGTTTGAGGTAATGGGATAGAAATCATAAGGTATCACGTAATCCATTACTATTGCCATAGATATTAGAAAATGGCACAGAACACATGAAATATTGAACAAATTCTGTGATCATATCTCAGAATGAGACCTTTCAAAAAAAGAAAACCTGTATTTGGTTTATATTTCTAGTCAATGTTCACTAAGTCCATATTCTGCCACTGTGACTTGCATATAATTTTTAGGTCAAAAATTCCCTCAAATCTTTGTTATGTTGGATATTTGACAGTTTAAAATACAGATTCCATATATTTACATAATACATATATTTATATGGACTTAGCAGTTTCAAAATCCATCTCTTCCTCTGAGGGTTTTAGTTTATACAAACTACCTTAGTCTATTTCTCATTGATCTTTAATGCATTATAAACTTTTTGGCTTATTTATGGTATTTTTTAATCTCATGATGATTATATCAAATACTCTTGGAAAAAGAAGAGTTCAGAAACTGGAAACTAATTTTCACATCGATATAAGCAACATATAATTAAGAAGAGCTATCTATTATTTAAAAAAATGCATACAATGCACTCTAAAGATAAATTATTTTAGTTTATTAATATTATCATTTTATAAGCATGGATAATCAAGGGCTGATTGTATTTACATCATCTATATTTATTGAATACGAAGCCCTGTAGAAAATATGCTAATATTCCTTTAACATTCAATACAAGACTTCCTTGCAGGATAGTTCTCTTTTGAAATTGTGTTTCAATACCTGACACTGAGACCTCAGAGGATTTCTCCACAGTTGTCCAAATTGTTCCCTAAATTGGTCTAAATAATTTATAATGTAAAACTGGGATCTGCAAAGTTTCTCTATGAGGTCTGTGTGAACAGTGTTATAATCTATACTTTTCGGGAGAAACATGTGAGACATAAGCTGAGCCACAGAGAAAACAGACTTGACCCACTGGCTCTTTGTCTCTCATTTAAATAATGCAGGAGCTGGGCTGGCTCTGCCTCCTGCCCCTTCCAGCCGATGGCCGATGGCGTGGCTACAACTGTGAAAGATGATTCCCTTAGCAGCTCAGCCTGTCTCCTCAGTGTGCCCCAAACCTGTTAATATGTAAACAGTGGAGCTACAGGTGTGCTGTTGGGGCTTTCTAGAACTTTCTAGAGGTCTCCAAAGTCTTATTAGAGATTTGTACACGTCCAAATGGAGATCTGGGGATATCCTTTGTTATTTTTTCCTCTTTTTCATATTGACATTTACACTACCAAGCAGGACTTTTTGTTGGTTCCTTACTCTATGCCATCTCTCCATTAAGTGGTTGATCTGTTTTCTAGTGAAATTAATTTGATTATGCTTGAAGCCTTAGGTTTCTTATTACCTTTGTGGGGTCTCTATGACCTCTAACACTTCTCTTCCTGAATATTTACATGTTTTCTGGGTGTTTCTTAAGAGCTCCTTATTTCTCGCAGAGGGAACTTTGTGCTGGGTTCACCACAGGCTACTGAAAACAGATGGATAAGAAGGAAGGATCAAGGAGGAGAGGAAGCCAGGGCATGGCGGTATGAGCTTTACAAGCAGCCACTCCTGGAATGCTCTGCTGCTCACCACGGTCTCCACCCCGCTGGTGTTGGAGAACAACCTGTAGAGACTGATGATCCCGTTGGGTGTCCTGGGGGTGCTGAAGTTCACCACTGCTTGGGTGGACATGACTGCATGGAACTTGGGGGCCCCGAGTCCTTCTGGGGGTGCTGGCCCAGTTCTACACCATGTCCAGCTACTGGCGGTTTTTCCTGCTGAATTCACAGCCCAGACCTCCAAAGAGAAATCAATAAGACCAGTCAAAAGCAAGATAAACTCAGGCTGGGGAAAAAAGTTGGCAACCAGAGAGCAACTACACAGCACAGGATGAGATAAACTTTGATCTCGCAGCTTTCTCATCACAAAGGAGGCAGGTTCTTCCTCTTTTTTTTTTTTGCCTTTGACCATATGAACCCAGAGGGGGCCAATTAGGAGACCTGATTTCAGAAGGAACAGACTGACCGAAGCCTGATGAAGGGTTGCTGTCACTGAGCGGGAAGACAGCATTTTTGTCAGCTTCTGTGAACTAGAAGGCTCGGCAGACTGCACAAAACTCAGCACTTCCAACACTGCACCCACCAAATCTGCATGGAAATTAAATTTCCCTTTCATCAAGTTGGGAATAAACATCTGGAAGGATGTATAATCTTATTTATCAAGAACCATTTGTATAATTAAACACGAATATCCTAAAAGGTTGCCTTAGGTCGTCATTTGCATGACTACCTAATTTGTAGAATGTCAGGTACAATAGGCGGAGGAGATGGATGTGCTAGTGGATAGGGTTAAATTAGGCCCAGTAATAGCCAACTACACAGTGATCAATCAGAATGATAGATCTAAATGGCAATACAAGAGGACGGTCTGCCTATTTAGGAAAAGGAGTATCCCTTAGTAAGCTTTCGTGCTGTGTAAGTCTCACTTCAGGATTTTTTTTTCTTATTTGGTATCTTCATGTATATATTATATATATAATATACAACACTGTATGTGACTTCGGGGTACAGGCTCACACCTTTGAATGTATGTCAGCACACCACACCTACCATCAAAACACACATCAACCTCTGCTGTCATCCTGCCTTGAATGTCTAAAGACGAATTTGGAAAAATTTCATTGTACCCAAGTTCCAGAGTGCAGTGTTGAAAAGCATGCAGATGTGGAAAATAGGGTCTATTTAGAAAAAAACTGTGGGAGAAGACTTTGAAGTAAGAGTTACATTTCATTTTTGTTCTGTTTTTGCTTCAATAAGATGTTTAAGAGAATAAATACTGAATGATATTGAGGAGTGAGGCCAATTTCTAGCAAGATTTTCATGCATTAATTTTTGGTGGATTCTTTCATATAAGTGAACTTCCTGATGTGGAATTGCACTTAAATTACTGTCAAATACAAGCCTCGGGCCCTTGCTGACAGCTTTGCCAGAAGCCCCATTGGAAACACGACCATTCACCCACTTACATAGCAGAACCTGATTTTTGGATTCCCAGTGCATTTTCTCACCATTTGCCCAATAATTATTCCTTTTGTATAAACTATTCTACAAAGCACCTTAATGTATGTTAGCTGACATTGTCCTCATGACACAACCTCATCAGGGAGTTAAGGGATGTCGCAATGGAACCCCTTTGATGAGGAAATTGAGACTCTGAAAAGCTGGTTCTTGTTCCAGGTGACAGAAGCCACCAGTGCTGACACGGCAATTCTGCTTCGCAATAAAACTGCTCCTAATAAGTTTGTGTATGTCTCTTTCCATGAGACAGTGCTTTGATTCTGTGCCACCACACCCACACATTAGATACTTATGAAGATCAAATGACTCATTCATAGACCAATACCTGCAATTCTGGCTTAGCCGGAAGGCTCCTAGTTTGCAAAGGTGGGTAATCCTGCCTGCTAGTGCAGGGGGTACACAGTGGAGGAAGGAGCAGGCCTGGGGGAGCCAGACTTCATGGAAACCAGAGTCCATATCAGAATAAGAGCTATCACTCTTCTCATTCCTTCTGAAATGGCCGGGATCAATCTTACAGCACCGTTGGGAAGAGGAGGATATTGATGAGGAGGTCAGATTTCACCACTGCTGAGAAAGAATCCTTGGCTCCTCAACCTGTTCCAGACTAGCCTTTTTTTTACTGCAAATGTTTTCCTACAGGTATGGGAGGACCCTTTCTTATTACACAGCAAGTGACAAGGTTTGAAATAAAAATATAACTGGGAAAGGGATGCCACTAAGATGCAGCTATTACTATCCAATTCTTGGCCAAAGTGTAGGACTTTGGTGGGTGATTTATGGTGCTAAGAGATTAAATAGAGGCATAGGAAATATTTTGAGTTTATTTGAGCAAAAAATTGATTCTCATGGGGAAGCGCCCAACTGAAAGCGATTAGGAGCCAGGGAAATGAGTATATAGAGGAGACACAGGAAGCCAAGAAAGGAAATATTGATTGGCTATAGCTTAAAGCCCTGTTTATGATTGGTTGTCTTGAGTGCTTTGATTTTGCACCCTGGAGGTATTTCCAGACTTAGATTTTGGTTTGCCTGATAGGCCCCCATGGCATTAGAGCCACCTCAGCCTAATGGCCTCCTCGTTTAAATAATTCAACAAAGGCATATAGAATTTTAATAGAGGTCACAATGGATGGGAAAAAAAAAACCAGGAGGAAAGTACAGCGATATGTAATAAAATAAAAATTCAGCAAGTTGCCAATTAATTACTGGGCACCAATGGGAGGCAGCAATCGTGCAGGCATGCGGGTGTAGAAAGAAAATGAAATAACTAGTGTGATTCATAGAAAGCACTTAGCACAGTTAGGACCCAGAGTTATGAACATTAACTTTTCTTTAATTGTTGACATAGATATAGAATCATAAATACCACTAAGGCTTTTTAATGCTGGTGTTGGCAGACAGGACTAAACTTTATGCCTTCTCATATTACACAGACCTCTACTGGGTGGAGTCCTATTTCTAAATGTGATTGGTTTAATCAGTAGTCTTTTAAAAAAAATCACTTGAGTCTCAATATTATAATGTTTTGCTGTATTTCTTTCTTTTTTAAAAAAATCTTATTTATTTATATATATTTTATATCATTGTTCATTTTTAAACAATGTTTGCTTTTATTTTTCTTTTCCCTCAGGTGTAGTTCCCATAAAATTTCCTCCATGCTGTATTTCTTTAGAAATATTCTCTTTTAAAAACTAGGCAATTCAAAATTCCCCATCACAAAATGGGAATGTATATGATTTGTGTCTTTTGTCTTTGACAGGAGACCTTCATAATACAGAGCTCTTTCCCTTAGTCTTTCTTTTTGGTATTCAATCAATTTGAGATCAAAATAGCATTCATATAAATCAACATGCTTATGCAAAGCAGGATCAGCCTATTTACATGAGACACTCTGAAAATGAAAGCAGTTACAATGAAGAGAAAGCTGACAGATAATGAAGCATTATGGATTTCACAAAACTTGCCCGGCTGCAAGGCAGTGGCTGCGTTATACCAAACCAACAAAAGGAAAGTGAAAAAGAAGCTGTCAATGATATTCTCCCTCTGTATGTAAATATTTCCCCTGAAAATTGCTGTGGGTTTCTGTCTATGTCCAGCTATACAAGAGGTAAAGAAACTGAGATGCATGTAGTTCAGGGGTTAAAATAAAGACACTAACAGATCATGCTTATGATTCCTACTGAGAAACAATACCCCATGATGGGTTTATCCTTATAGGATGGAGAAAGAAGCAGAAGAGATCTTCTAGGGGAAATTTTGAGAAATACGCCCTACTCTCTTAATTTTAATGTACCAATATAAAAATCAAGAAATAAAATATTTCTTAAGGAGTCATGCAGTTGCCTACTGTTGACCTAAGTTTACTTAACTGACAAGTGAATCCATTAGGTATCTATTGTGGATTCCTTCACACAATCCTTGGGTATGTAAACATTGTGTGTGGGCTGCTCACAGAAAAGAGTGGGCTTTACAGAGGGTAAGGGGGAATCTAAGGCTTATGAGTTCCATAGTCAAGAGAAAACAAACTTTCATTTTTTATTTATTCATAATATTCTTATATTTGTAGCACTCAGCTGAGCATATTTCCTTATAAAAAATTTAAAGATGATCAGTTTCCACTAAAACAATTTATAGTTAATGAACACATGTACATACACATACACACACACACACATAACTGTAACAGGAACCTCTGACAGAGGGGGGATTAAGATGTGGTGTGTGTGTGCACACGCGTGTGCATGATGGAATACTACTCAGCTATAAAAAAGATGAACTCTTGCCATTTATCACAAAATGGTACTTTCCACTAGACAGAACTGCAAAATAAGTGAAGTAAGTCAGGAGAAAGACAAATACCAGGTGATTTCACTCATGTGGAATGTAGAGAAACATAATAAAGGAACTAACAAAACAAAATCAAACCCAAGAAGTCTGACTGTAGAATTGCTGCTACCAGGGTGGCAGGAGGAGCATGGAAAGTAAAGTGTGGAGAGGGCCTATTGGACTGTGGTGGAGGGCCTGGGGTTCTCAGGTTACTGTGCTAGCTTGACTTCAGCACAATTTCCAGACTGGACACTTGCTAGAGTAGTTTTCTTTTAAGGTTTGTCTCACTCAATGGTTCATAATTTTCAGAAATAACATCCCGTAGGACTGGTATTTTCCAAGCGTGGTCTTGGGGTAAAGATATACTCAATGTAAATTCCCACGGTTTTCCTGATATGTTTTTCCTTTATCCTAATATCAAACAGTTTCTTCAAATGTGAAGACATTTTAGATTCTTTTGGCTGAGGAAATTCTACAAATCTTGCTGAAGTCAAAGGAACATACTCAGTGATGCTTCTATACCATCAGTACCTAGCGGAGGTCTTCTAGGTCTTGGATTTGCCATCATTTTTCACATAAAAATGGGATTCAGGAATGTATAAATTTAGCCAGTCATCTTTCACCAAAAATACCTCTAATTTGTTGATGTTTAATGTAAGCAATGGTTTCTGTTGTTACCTGTGGAGCCATTTGAGATTTTACTCTTTTTGTTAGGCTATTTACTTTAAGAGTTTATGATAACTCTCACTCTCAGAGGATAAATATATGGAAGAATTTTTCATTCTCTTCAATTTCTGTGATAATCTACAACCTACTTCCTTGTGGAATAATGACAATTTTAAATAAAACAAAAGGCTTTCTACAATGCTGAGGCTATCTTTTTATCAAGCAGCACTA